ATGATGTGCCTTTCAACATAAAACAAACACCATATGCACGTGTTAACAGCTAAAAACTGTATTTCTACTGTAAGGGGTCTTTAATAAGCTTAATTTGCCGTTGCAAAGATGCTCCCAAAGACACACATAACGCCTTTTTGTGAGTAGCACAGACTGCAAACACAGTGGAACTTCTGTCTGATTACGAGGCCCCTTCAAGTGCATATCGAGGCCACAGTTCTTTAACGCTTTAATCATTTACATTTTCATGAAATCAATCCCATTTTTAATGCTGCGACTGTTTTGACTGCATTTAAATGCTAATCGCAGTTCAATTTACATTCAGTAATAGTATTTTTTATTAGTCTGGAGTACACCATCCCTACGCTGGATTCAGACTGAGCACAAGGGATTCACAGGAACACCATGCATGCAAGTAATCAAGCAAGCAGGAAATCTAAAGGATCCCATATTTAAAAACCTAACTTAAGGAATAAATACTTGTTGTGTGTTGCTAAGAAAAGAATCTCAGCTCATACATTGGGGTTTTTTACCTCTCGAAACTTCCCTTTGGCTTCAGAGATAATTCAGTCATCACCTGTAACTCATATGAACATGTATGTAGAACATGTTTAAATTGTCCTTACATGGTGCTGCATTAAATAACAGCAAAAATAAAAGATGTGTAATTCTCTCTTTAAAGCATATAAAAACACTCATGACCTACTTTACATATTATACACATTTCCACGCGACTGAGTCATTCTTCTAGCATTGTATCCTCTGCTGTGAAATGCAGGCGGAATAGATGGACGACAGAATCAAGACGCTGACATTTCAGAGGGAGATCAGCTGGGATGTGCACCCTTACATTTACATTCCAGCGATCAGAACGGGGGGCTACAGGAGGTTCATTGACGCCTTGTAGGCACAGTGATTAAAAAAGGGCTAATTAAAGAGAGATGAAGGAAATCATTCCTTTTTTTTTTTTTCATTAAATTTCCCATGAAATTAGATTTTTCATTTGCCTGCATAAGATGGAAAGTTGAAGGGGTTTTTTTTTGTGTGTTTTTTTTTTTAAATGTGTTTTTCCCCCTTGAAAACAAGGCCTGTGTGGATTATTGTGTATGTGTGTGTACCAGGAATGAGGAGTGACAGTCCACTTATGAAGAGACGTTATGCTCCCTGAGTTTAATTCCCATTCTGGAGGAGATCGGCGTGACAAGAGAGGACACTCACACATGTCGAACATTCAAATTCCAGCTGAATGCGGGTGAAGGAGACGAATGATGGGAGATGGCTTTCTAATCAAGCAGCATCTGCACAGAATTTCATTTACGATGCAGCACTTTGAAGCACTCTGCTCACAACAAAATCTCGCCACAGGAAATAGCAGCAGTCGGTATGGTATATACGCGGCAGGGCCTTGTGTATGGCTTGTATGCTAATGGCATGCCGCCACTGGACAGCCTGCCTGACAGCTCCTGTGTACCATGGAGACGTATGGGAGTAATGGCCGCAACTAATGCAAGGTCCCAGGGAACTGTGAATAGCAGAGAATGACAGTTCTGGTAGCGGTAAACGGGTAAAAATGTGCGGAGGTACAATAAAGCGCCACGTCTGCTAATAACTCCTTTTGAAACGAGGGAGACGGAGGAGATGGAGACGTAAGGGCAAGTGATGGTGAAATGGGAAAGGAAAAAAAAAGGTTCCAGCTGAACACTTTAAAAAGCAAAATGTAGAGTACTTTGCAAAGGTTTAAACATAAATTAAGGTGCTTTTTGAAAGAAATGCCTAAAAGTTTTGCACAGGAGGTGATACAGTGAAGGGCAGAGATCTGGTGACTATGAAGGCCAGGGTGTGTGATTAAATTAGTTTTATACTAATCAAAATATCCATTCTTTTATTATGGAAGTTAGAACAGTCAGTTAATAGTTGACTTAATGCATTACATACAAAAATGCAAGGCTCAGTTGCATGAACAAACCAAATCGTGGGTCACAATACCTCCTCATCCTCACAATGTGGCCGTTTTATTTTATTCTTCAATTATCTGTGTTTTTTTATTGTTGTGTTACCATTAAAATCATTACCCTGATAAATAATCTGGAAAGCTTACTTCAAAGTATTTAGGTTCGACTGACATTAAACCCTTTTTTCTCAGACAAAAACAGGCTATTAAAAATGATCAATAACAACCATTCTATTAAATATTCTCTCGAAACAATTTTGTTTTATCATCCTGGTGTCTTATCTCAAAGGGTTTTGCTTAAAATGGGGAATCATTTGGCATAATAAACTTCTTGAAAATTCAATTAGGAGGCTGTTTAAAAGTTGAAAAATCAATTTTTTTAGAGAATAAAAAAAAAAACTACATGCAAAAATCATGTATATCCGGTATTGTGGATGATGGCTGACGACTATCCTCCAGTAGAAGCTCACTCCATGTGTGAGAGAACAACTACCCGACTGATGCGATGGAAAGAGTACACAGCAGACGAACTCGTCTCTAAACTGCTGGCCATAACAGCATGACCAAAGAGAAATAGCTGGAATATGTCTGCCCACTTCTCCTCACCATTAGCAAAGTAATGGGGTATCCGACAGGTCAATGACTCCAACCACGATGCCTCCAACTATCGTCTGAGAGCTGCAGGGCACACAAGCCCCGTCCGACACACCCACAGGAAAGGGTCAAACACGAGGAGGGTATAATTGACTGAACCGTGACCTGCAGTGGTCTCTTTATACTGCGGTCTTTTGTGTCGGAGAGTGAGTGCTGTGTATATGTGGTCACACCTAAGCCAACACCCCCATGGCCTTCTCCGCATTCATCAGATTGGTATAAATATTCATGAGGAGGCTGGTGGCCGGTGTCTCGAGACGGGGGGCTAATGAACGGAGTGTGTACGCGCGGCGGTGTGTGCGGGCGTGCGCGCGTTGTCACAGATGCAGGGGGCAGAACTGTAATCAAATCACAGCCGCCCCCTCATCTCCGCCCTCATCAACCACCAGTGGCGCTCCTTCCATACACGCTAATGCTAACATGCTACGCAACACGCTTGCCTGTGGTTTCGGCACAGACGGCAGGGACACCGGAGATGTGTGTGTGTGTGACTGTGCATTTGAGTGTGTGTTGAATAATAGTCGAGGGCTGGCCCAGATAAAGGGGTCTGGACTCGCGGCTAAGCTAACCACTAGGCGTACAAATAGCTAACCATTATCTCTCATTAGCATCCGCGGCTAACACAGGGCCCATGCTGTGCGGTGGAGGGCCCTCACAATGGGACCACTCCTGTATGATTGATGGTGAAACAGCGTCGGCCACAATAACAGAACAAAAAAGAAAAGCACTAAAGATAGAATCTGCTGGCTGTGGCGAGGTAATAAAAATGTAGACAAACAAAAGGAAGTCAGACTAATCAAGAATGCCAGGCACAGCTCATTAATCTATGAGAGCCGACACTGTTTGGAAGCCCGGAGATAAGTCGGATGACTGGCACGTTGTGAGGATCACGCACGCTCATCCTATTCCGTCTGCTATCTTTTCATCAGCAGCGAAAAAACAAAAGGATAAAATGAGAAGTGAGATGAAAGGGGGGAGGGCGTATAGAGAATTGGGTGAAAGCTGAGAGTGTAAAGAAACAAAGGTAAATAGGACAGTTCCTGCCTGGTGCAGGTTCTGCTGAAGCGTTCGCTCGGCGCGGCACAAAAAAAAGCGCCGCGGCTACAAAGAGACCGCCGACGTCAGGTTAACTTGCTGGTGAAAGAATCTGATCAAATGCCACAGCCAGATTCCAGTTATGACACTTCATCATCAGCGCGCCGCGGAGAAAAAGGCAGGTTTAGGTTGGAAAAATGAGTCATTAAAATCTATGACTCACCCTCTTATTCACAAATAAGATGCAGATCTTGTGATTATAATTCCATCATCCCAGAAAATGAAGCCTCTGTTCTCTGTGATTGCAAAAACATTTCTTTCCTCCATTGAAGATTCCCACTGAGTTTACACATCTATTATTTAGTTCTGTCCCCGTTTTTCACAAAGAGTATTTTTGCCAAAGTTGCAGTTCGGCGTGCACACGGAGCCGCGCCAGCACACACACCGCTGTTCGCGCAGCTTAAAACACCAATTGTTACTGCGTTGTACGGGGTCGGCTGAATATTCCATTTCCATTTCATTTGGCCTTCTGCTGACTAAGTGTTGGTAATTCATCATTCGTCTGGACCTGGGGCTTATGAATATGGATTTTGGGCAGTTTATTAGCACATCTTAGGAATGCATTATGGGAAATTAGCAAGGGGAATGAAATTTGCTCTTCATAGAAATTGGGCCACTGTCTGTCTGTCTGTGTGTGTGTGTGTGTGTGTGTGTGTGTGTGTGTGAATGCAGAACAACTCAACTCATCGTCTATGAAGTTACATCAGTGCTGCTCTGGAAAACTTCCCTCTGCACATAACTGATGTGCCGTAAATCTGAAATTGTGTCCTTTCAGTACGAATGAACATGACAGCTAAATCGCGCGGCACCGTCGCCGCTCACCACACCAGAGGAACGGAAGGAATACGTTCGCTCTCATACCAGGCGTGTAAGGAGTTGAAGAAGTAAGATGTCATCAAATCCAAAGGGGGGGAAACTCATTTTGTCACATTTTGTATTTAGCTGGTTCAGGCTCCTAATAACTAGTGACAAGCTAACCAACATTTAGATTTACAAACACCTTGTTTATTGGACATCCTGTCATCCAGCCAGGCGGGGGACTTTAGCGGGGAGTCCAAACAAATCCTCTGCAAGAGTCTAAGTATGGCCGAGAGTGACAGGCTCTCTGCTGTAATTTACTGTCCCTCTTTGCAGGTAAGAACAATCAAGACTATCATTGCTCATTTTGTTGCATTTGGCTGTCAAGTCAAGTCACGAGAAACGGCTGCAGGTGAGAACAAGAGCAGCAGAAAACTGTATGATGAACTCTAACAATCTCTCACTGTGGTTCCATAGTTTGAGCTCTGGTGTCCATCCTCACCTTGTCTCTGTCTTCCACCAGATCGCTCAGCAGGTCGTCCATGTCCAGGATGCCTCCTTCAGCGTACTCCAAGTGGTGGGTTTTTACAGCACTCTCCCCATCCTGGACACAAAATCAGAAAAAAAAAAGACTTCACATTAGGGCTCGACGGCTAACAGAACCGGCTGATCTACTAAAACCACATTTCAACAAATCACCCTTTTAGCTCTGCTTCTCTACAAAAACAACCAATGACATCCAAGCAGAAGTTCAACCAACTAATCAGGTCACAGTGACGCTCAGATGTCCAGAATGATCAGGACAAAGCTGAGGTGATCATAAAGTCAGAAAAACACACAATTTGGTCAAAAATCATCAATTCTAAATAAAACACACTGATTTCAATTGTGATCCTAAATGTCATAGAGGCATTTTTTTGTTTTCACAGAACACTACAGTCGCCATTGTTGCGCAGCAGAGAGGAGAAACAAACTATTATGTAAACTATGAGAGGCCTGAGAAACCAGAGCGACTGTATATTCATCAGACAGTGCTTACAGTAGTCGTCACACAAAACAAGAGCCTGCAGAGTAACAATGTCCAGCCTGACAATGGCTATTAACTAAAGATTCCCTCCAAAGTAAAGGAGTATTCTTAATTTAATTCTCTTTTCTATGATATTCACTAATCCGATGGCTTCCTATAATGAAATCTAAGTTATACGATTCTTGTGAAATGATCTAAATTTGTTGCTAGCTATAATGACTCTGGCTGTAATCCTCAGGCTGACTTGCTTGATTGGTTGGTCAATATGTTCTTAATTCTTATTGGTCGGACAATAAAAATGCATCTTTAAGAGCCTTCGGGGATTCATTCATTATTTTTGGCGCCGAGAGGAACGAACCATCGATGAAAGATGGGGTTTTCACAATTTCAGATTCACTCAACCTAATGGAGGCTGCTGGGTTGAACTTATGTAGCATGTACGTTTACTAAGGCTGCACAATTAATCTATGTCAAATCAAAATCCCTATTTGAAACGATGCAATTAGCAAACTGCAAAGACTGCAAATTAAGATACAGAAGATACAGCTATTAATTAACAAGACTGATGCTTACGCTCAGTCTTATTTAATTAGAGCTGATTGAAACTTTCAGAGGTTGTTTAGCTGCACTTTAATAAATGTACGTGGTTCAGGCTGGGGGTCATTATTTATTAGTCTCACCCCATACAGTTTGCAGCACAAGTTTAAACTGTCCTGTGTGTGAAATGGTTTGACAGATTCATGCCATCCTCTGTGTGTGACAGTTATTCTTTTGATGGTGTCTCATGGTGTAATGCTCCTTTAAGTTTTAAATCTGCACTATTGCACAGTGACTATTGCACTGAAGCTTGACTTTAAAAAATAATGCTGCATTTCAAATTGCAATATGAAGAAATTTGCAACTGCCCAAATTGTTCAGCACAAACATTTACTTAAGGTTTAATCAGTCGGTTCAAAACTAACTAACACAACAGAAGAAGTTGGCTGTTTGGCTGCATTTTGTCGAGTTTTATAAAACCACAGCTCAACAACTGACATATCATCCAACAACTGTAAACTACCTCGACTGCATTAGGTGCTCCATAAAGTGTTGAATGCTCGAGGCTTTCAGTGTGAACATATCACAACGAGCATATTTCTATATGCATGGTTGCCGGTTCGCGTCCCGGTGGGGGCACCGGAATCTTTCTGCGTGGAGTCTCCATGTTCTCCCCGTGCAGCGTGGGTTCTCTGGCTTCCTCCCACAATGTCCAAAAACATCCATCCATCCATCCATTATCTATACATCGCTTAATCCTCACTAGGGTCGTGGGGGGCTGGAGTCTATCCCAGCTGACTTAGGGTGAAGGCAGGGGACACCCTGGACAGGTCGCCAGTCTATCACAGGGCTACACTTAGAGACAGACAACCAAGCACACTCACATTCACACCTACGGACAATTTAGAATCACCAATTAACCTCAACATGTTTTTGGACTGTGTGGGAGGAAGCCGGAGAACCCGGAGAGAACCCACGCTGCACGGGGAGAACATGCAAACTCCATGCAGAAAGATTCCGGTGCCCCCACCGGCACGCGAACCGGCAACCTTCTCGCTGCGAGGCAACAGTGCTACCAACTGCGCCACCTTGCAGCCCATGTCCAAAAACATGTTGAGGTTAATTGGTGATTCCTGTGATAGACTGGTGACCTGTCCAGGGTGTCCCCTGCCTTGGTGGGGGACACCCCGGACAGCGGTGTATAGATCATGGATGGATGGTTTAATAGTGGTTTTATAACAGCATATTTATATCAAGCTCCAACGTCAGCCAGAAGCAGGCAATCAGAGCAGGCTGGATGTAAAGCATCTGTCTTCGACGACAGCAAAAAACTATTTCATGATCATAAATGTCTAACTAAATTACCAGGTTAAATCATTTCAGATGCTACACATACTAGCTTTATATGCTTATTTAATATTAAAGCTAGAGTGTATAGAGTGTAGAGTTGACCTAATTATTAGGTATGATTATTTTAAAAAGTACACAACAATAACACAGGAATTCAAAATGCAAGTGGGTACTAAAATGTACCGCCTTTTATAATGTCATTTTGTTTCTTCTATCTGAGCAACTTCCACCTCATTACAAACATCCCTCCACCAGCTGTTCTGCTTTTCACAGACCCAGCGATGAACATTTCAGTCACCGTTCCAACACAAAGTAAGAAAATGACTCATCTTGGCCTTTCTATTCTGCTGTGAATGCTACGTTCACAGCCACAAATGCGACACAAGCCCTGACAGTGAGCCACGATAATAATCACACACATAGGTGTGAGGGAACGCATGACCTACATCACACTGTACACCGCCAGGTCTGAAGAATCACAGTTAGTGCAGAAGAATGTGAGGGTGAGGTGGGGGCGGACAGAAACTTTTCCAGTTTTGCTGCTCCGTGGAGGGCGGTGGGCACATTCCAGAACAGTTTCACCGTCGCCATGAAGAGGTCAGAGCGAACACACCCCACACGGCGGGAACTACACAGAGCCCGCTGCTGCATTCAGTGACAAGGAGCACTTTTGAATAAGCCACAATCTGAAATCTGTGCTGTTTACACATTCAAATCAACAGAGAAGTACATGAACAATGGCATCTTCCCCTTTTCGTGACCCTGTACACACACACACACACACACACACAACACAGCCCGCTGTGGTGTTGCTTTGCAGATAACAAAGTGCATCTGTGGACAATTTCGGATGAGGCTGATGATAAACTGCGTAAATTATAAACACAAAGTGAAAGAGAACGCAATTCCAACCTTCTGGATGGGTTAAATTTAGTCTTGTTGAATAAATATTTGCCGTTTCTTATCCGCAATTTCTATTAGAAGCAATTCGTAGACTGAGAAAAGAAATCTTTGACAGGCCTTATCGTTTCTAACAATGTGTGCAGTAGAAAATGGCCCATTAGGAACTGCCCATACCAATAAGCAATCTGTCCAGAGCAACACAAGACTACATTACTAGCTAAATTACCAGCTATAGGCTATAAGCCTTGGAGGCTGGAATGAGTTTGGCTGAGACCCAGTGAGCGGCTTCTGCTGTATCACTGAGCCCTGTTGTGAATGGGCTCGTTCTTGCTCGGCTGCATCCGAATGTGAATTATGGGGCACAAAAAAAGAGGGTGTCTGCCTTTCACAATGGGCCAAGTCCATTCTCTTAAAACAAATGGTTAGTAGAGCCTGGGATTTCAATCACAGGAATAAAGCCAGAACCTCCCTTTCTTCAGAAGTGCCAATAATAGCAGTGCCAGACCTCTGAGAGAGAGTAGAGTATGAGACTAAAGGTAAGCGCTGCAAATACTCTGTAGTTTTCACACAATGCCCTAGAATTATGCAAATAGACATGCAATGCAATGATCCAGAACCTGGAGCATCCTGCCACTGGAAAAGACATTGAAGTTTGTTTCACAATAAAAATCTGACGGGAAATATGAGCAAGTTGGTGGAACTAAAAACACGTATTTCAACTGGGATCGCACCCAGACAGCAAACATGAACTACAGTTATCTTGGTGGTTCATCTTCAAATAGTCTAAGCATATTTTGGCTTTAACAGCTGAATAAAAAAACTTTGTAAGGCATAAAGAGAAAGTGGTCAGTGAATATTTCGTAACCCATCACCTGCAGACTAACACCAGGGGAGCAAAACTTATTTTACAAAACGAAGGATCCAACCTGCTTCATTCTTTTTTGTTTCAGCACAGAGAGCCTCCACTGCGCGATACAACATTAACCAAGTATTCCTCTTTTATATCTCTTACAGCAGCATACATGAACTGAAACAAATGGACTGGTAGTGTTGGTCAGTTAATTTCACTTCCATCTCATGAATCTTACACTGTTATGATATTTTTTAATTAATGCAGCTAATTTCTTAACAGTCTGAACCCCAGAACTTGCTGGTGGGAATTTTTTTTTTCAGATATTTTATGAAATCAAGAAACTATAAAAACAAGAAAAAGAAATAAGCATGCGACTTGGTTTTGTAGGACAAAAACAATCAAATCTAAGCTGTATTAAAATCCCTTTATTCTACATGTCTCATTTAACGTTTGGACAAAAAATAAACCCTTACTAGTAACCAGATTCTATAAAAACAAAAAAATTCTACACTCCTTGACACAACTGAGAAGTAATTACCCTCTTAGGTGTGAGCTACAATCATGTGACAAAAATTCAGGAATGTTTCAGGTGATCTGTCCTGAATTGCAGGTTGTGTTTACGCGGAACCGATAGAAAACAAGGGTGGAAACAAATTCAAAAAAAGTAAGGAGCAAAATATCTACAGCATGTAGATCCACCTGTTTTGTTTTCAGCACTTGTATCACCTGAGGAAAATGTTGTTGATCCCAGGTACTTAAATAATCAAACCTATGTTGTCATACATTATGACACAGTTATAAGACATTGTTGAGTTCTCTCTATGTGTATTCATAGTTGTGCTGTTGCCATGGAGGTGCAGGACTTTACAGTGCAGCGAGAACTGAGCCCAGACTGAGGAAAAATATGAAAGAAAAAGGAAAAAAAAAAACAACC